TTTCGTTTTCTATTTCTTAACCTAATTCTCGCATCTAGTGCACTAGTGCTTCCGGCTCACCACAATGTGCTCTCCTTCAGTGTTTGCCACTATGCAGCCTTCGTAGAGCGCTTTTCTCTGTCCTCCACAGATCTGCTCATTCTGTATGAAGTAGTTTGTGTATTTTCATTCCGTACCACCTCCTCATTTCGATGAGATGCGACCAGCGTAAATCGTTTGTTCGCACCACAATACTACCTGGGGAGAGACCATTGCTTACTCCGTACTCAAAACCTCGCCAGTACACCAGACATCATCTATTTTCGAACATTGAGACATTTAAGTCTTAAAGTGGCTTCGTCTTTCAACTACGGTTAGCGCTTTGCAACTGCGCAAAATTTCCACCTAGGCGCGTTCGATTCTTTTTTACGGACTCAGGTTTGATCACCAGTGTCTTGGTCTATGGTTCCATCCATGATGGGTAATTAAATCAGATTCTACCGGCTCGTGGCCTAATGCATCACAAGCCCGCATTGTAATCCGATGGCGCGGGTTCGTGTTTGTTTAGGGAACCAGGCGACTCCCGCAGCATCCGTGCGCGCGACTATTGGTGATTGCGCGGCAGCTAAGTGTCGGCACTGCAACCGGTGTACAGCGGATACTTTATTCTTTCAATCATTTCGTTCGCACAAGACCTCCTAGCCGGTTTTCCAATCAGGTCATTGTTTATCTCGTTCACCTGCAGTGGTGTTTCGTTCTGTCCTGCTAGCCTTCGCCATCTCACATTGGCATTCCCAGACATCTAACGAAACTTTTATTCTTCTCATTATCTACAACTCGTTTTATATTCCTCTGTGCTCATTTTATGACTATTTTGCTCATTACAGATTACTCACAAAGGCCATTGCTCAGAACGTGACTCATGAACACTCATACATCTCTGCGAACTACCATCTTCTATTTGTTACTTTCGAGCATTTTGGCTCATAATGTACCCTCTTCCAAAGTTGGTCCCTCCGGCTCCACCTTCGTCACAGCTTCTTCCTGGACCGGCTTCGAATTGGCTGCCTTCGTCGACTTGAATGCTGATCGCCAAATGGATGTCATCCAGATTGCTGCGAATGGAACAGATTTGTTCGCTTCTGTCGCGCCACCCAGTGAATCCAGGTTCAAATTCGATACATCCACCGTGCCCAATCTACCTGAGCCTATGCTACTTTTTTCGCCCGGATTCACGCAGCCGATTGTCAGCGTTGCTGCGGCCGATTTTAATGGCGACTCGGTGGCTGACTTACTCTTACTTACGGCAACGTCCCCCAAGGGGCCCTTCACAGCGCACATCGCTTACGGAGAAGTGGGATCGAAGCGTGGACTTTTCGGCAAGTGTTCTTCCTGTGTCCATAATTTTTGTGTCGGACTTAACGTACTATATTCCCCACCAGTTCCTTTGTTATCCCAAAAACGATGAAGTTATTCGAATGGGTAAAAAACGGCTTTTCGCGTCGTATTTCGCCCACGCTTGTGCTGATACTGAGATATTTTTTCACCACTGAAAAGCTACAACTCAGTTGCATCGGGCGAGCAGTTTAATCCAGTGATGTTCCGCTTCGAAAATTAGTTTCAGGTTTCCTGTGCAACCCTTTAAACCGGCAACGGAGACTTACTCGATGTTGTCAGAAGCTTATGGGAGTGCACGTTTATTTACGTGTACGAAAAGGTTGTATCTAGAGTGCTCCTGTTATCGCCGAAACATTGGGTGTGGAAGGCAAAAATTGCTTGAAACATTTTACCAGAAAGGCTATACATAACGGAAGTCTGCACAGATGTGATGTGTAACCTTTTGTCGTATATAAACAGAAGACAAGTGGCAGGAGATATATCTTGACTTTTGGGGACGGACTTGTTAAAGACCCGGTTTTTTAATCCGTTTTTTACTATCAGGGGAAGTGAGTCTTTACATTGGAAATCACGGACTTCTCCTAAGGTAAGCAGACCAAACGTGGATACTTTGACAATTAAGCGATATTTCTTATTTTTAAAACAACTAGTTCCCTTCGGTCGTTTGAATAACACAATGAAAAAGCAAACATTGGTAGATGCACGCATTTCGTCTTGTCTCATCAGTACCAAAACAATAACTAGAAATTACATCGCTCACAAGGTGTTACCAACTAATCAAATGCAGTGAGGTGAGCGGCGCCGATGGTCGTAGAGCCAGGGTAACCGCAGGTCAACACCTGATTGTTTCTGCCCACACAGAGCAGATCTTAGCTGACTTAGCTCCACTGCCTCGGCAAACCGCAGTAAGCGTGGATTGGGTTGTGGTAATAATATCCTGGACGCGGAGCCGATAACGGGTCAACAAAACTTGTCGGTCTATTGACAATGCTGGCGGTCTGCGCGTACACGGAATATTTGGCGACGGATGGCTGGCCTCACACTGAACCCCTTTTGGACAAGTGTTCCCTCACTCTGGAATTCGAAACGCCCTCAGTCCTGCCTACGTAACGGACACCGCAGTTGCACTCAACTTGATAAATACAGTATGCTTTGACACTGATGGGTTTCTCTTCCTTTGCTGAAGGTAGGGACAGTTTCCAGGTTCTGTTGATCACCACAACATTTGCAGTGCAGCAGGTTCTCTGAATGGCAGAGATTAAGCGCTTGATTATCCTCGTTGTGGCGGTGTTACCCTTAACTTGGAGCTCGAGAAATACCTCTCTTAGGTGTTGTCAACACCCTTTCTTTTGGCGGTCGGACTTGCTTATACGTTTCGATGAAACCTTTGGGATAACCGTTCTCCATGAGCGTTCTGGTTATTGTCTCTATCTCCTCAGTCAGACAACCGCCAACATCATCAATAGGCAGACATGTTCTGTCGACCCGTTATCAGATTGACCTCGGCTCCGCGTTTCGGATATTGTTGCGTCATCCTGATCCACAGTTCCTGCGGTTTTCCGGGGCCATGGCGATAAGCCAGCTAAGGTCTGCTCTGTGTGTCCAGAAATTACCCGTTATTGATCTTCGGTTGCCATTTTCCTAGGGCCATCGCCGCTGTTCACCTCACTGCATTTGATTGGTTGGTCACACCCTTTAAACAGTATAAGATAATTTCTTGTTATTATTTTGGTACTGATGTGATAATACGAGATGCACGTATCTACCAGCGCCCGTCTTCTCATTGTGTTATTCAAGGTTCCTATTTTGTTTGGTATTCGTGGCATCGTTACGGCATTGTGGGTACAGGTAGACAAATGGTTGGCCACTATCATGAAGGAGCTTTGTGGGTTTTGAAGCGCCCAGAGTCCTGGAAATGCAGCTGGACCTTTTATCAGAACAACACCTTCGCCCATTGTCAGTCGGCAATCCTTCATATTCTCCTGCTCCAACATTAAACGGTATTTTCCCCTCTTCTAGAAACTACGTCGGCACTTCAAAAGACACGGGCGAAAAAGCGCAGTTTTCACATAGCTTAACGTACGGCTGCTAGCCGGTGACTTTTGAGCATTGGAAGGAACTCTAAGTGTGTGGGCTCAGTGGCTTTTTGCTTTGGAGGCGATCACTGGCCGTTGCGCATGTTTGTTAAATATGTAACCATAATATTATTCTCATGACCATTGGATAAAGCCTGACCGTTTTTCTCTACTTGTCTATTTTCTCGGTATTTTTCGCTCCCGTACCTTCTTATGTGTTGTGCACACCGATGCCTTCGGTTTGTCCAACTTCCCTTTGGCTGTACATGCAGAAACTCTTCCGTTCTGGAGTGAACGTAAAGCCATCCACATGATTGTGCATCCTCGCGTCTACGTCTGTTAGAGAGAAGCCTACGCTTGCCTACGATACTCTGATTTTTTCGATTTTTATGAAAGTCAAGACTTTCAATCTATTCATTATGTAGCCTCGGTTTATGTCTACTATTAGGGTCCCCATTTGCAACCTCCTTAAATCTATGATGCGGAGAATACTTACCGTGACTGGAATTGGCACAGTCAGTGGCCAACCACGAAAGCCTTGCTCAGTTGCTTATCGAACTGGAGTAGAACGAAGTGTGAATGATTTCACCAGACTAGATCGTCTCGCCTTGACTGAATCCTTCTGATCACGTATGCACTCGGCCTTCTGGTTTATGTATTTCTAGGTTTGTCCATCTACCCCATTGTATTGTCGCATCCATAAAGACATAAAGTCTCCCAAGAAAAGTCATTATTTCAATGGGAAAGTCATTTGAGCCAGTGGTGCGCACCCGAAGTAGATTCAGGAACATTCACATCTATTACGTAACAAGCGTAGCTGTATGTATGTAATCTCAACAGTCCAGTAAATCGATATAGAGCCTACACAAACCATAGAGATTATCAGATAAAGGACAGAGTCGCCGCGTCATAATCATCGCGCCACATTGTTGAAGGTGAGCAACACACTTCAGCTACTGTACCGCAGGCAGAAAGGATCATTTGACAAAAAATAGAACAAAACATTTAGTTTGTTTTTCACACGCCGATTTTTCTCTTTTTTGTCATTTTCAATGTTTGAACTATTAAATCTGTGAATTGTTACAATTCAGTACACAATTCTTCCACTGATTCCGGTTACGGGTCATGTCTTCAAGCGTGTTAAGCCATCGGCTCTCCTCATCCTTGGGTCCCCATCCTGGAAGAAGTACGGGTCCAATGGCAGCTGTCGCTAAGTGGAAGGCTGACCACCACGCGGTCGCCTCCAGCCAGGTCCTTGACGAGTGAATAGAGCGCGACGCGATAAACGTTCAGGTGCCATGCGTAGGACGTGACCGTGCCGTCTCAACTAGCGCAACAAAATCAGTTTGTTAAAGGGAATACTCGTATTCCCTAAGATGCGACGTCGAACGTCATCACTGTGAACACGATGTTGCTACCGAACACGGGCGATCCTTCTTAAGCAACCATTGTCGAACGCAGAAAGACGACGCCTGTCTTCCACACGAATCAGCCAGGACTCGTTCCCATACAACGACACTGAGCGAACTGATGCGCTGTAAACGCGGCCCTTTAGCGAGAATGAGACGTCGCGACGACTCCACAAGTGCGTCAGATTGGCAAATGGTGATCGGGCTTTAGAGATGCGAAGAGAAACTTTTTTGCTGATAGTACCGTCAGTCGAAACACTGGTCCCAAGGTAGACGAAACTATCTACCTGTTCAAGTTGTGCACCTTCGAGAGTGAGCACGGAAGCAGGTGTAAGCCAATCCTTGAGCAGTACTTTACACTTCGATAGGGTGAAGCTCATGCCATACTTAGATGCTTCAACCGCCAAACGATCCAGAATGACTTGCATACTCTGAGGATCGTCACCAAGTAAGGCGATATCATCAGCATAATCTAAGTCGGTTGCGCGCTCGCCCGGTAGAAGCTTTAGGCCGAAATGTTGGAAACCTTTTAGTGCATTCGACAGAACGTCTTCGATTGCAAAGTTGAAAAGGAGTGGGGATATAGGGCAGCTCTGTCGCACACCGCTGTTGACAGCGAATTGTGAGGAAAGCTGGGGTGAAGGGAATCGCCTGCCTCATTGCGGTCGATCAGGCGATCGATCGAACTTGCTTTGTTCAAACACGCTATTGGCGACGAAGCCAGATGAGTACTTGAGACTGGATCGCAGTGATGTGGATGAGCAAGAGCCGGACATTTCGGAGATAATCAAGAGCTTTGGCAATTATTACGAAGTTCAAGCAAATGAAACGTAGCAAAGATATCTGCTTTTGGTCGCAATCACCTACCAGATGAGTCAGTCGAGACCTACATTACAGAATTGAAATCTCTGACGTGAACGTGCAACTACTGTAATTGTATGCGGGACTTTGTAACGCGACCGCATCGTAATCGGTATAGAAAATAACGACCTCACTCGTCGCCTTTTGAGGCAGAAAAACTGTCCCTAAATCAGTGTGCATATGTGCCTTAGCGAAACAAGAATCTCACGATAGTTCCAGAATTTGCAGGCGAGCACGACAGCAGGACTTTGTACGGTATCGGAGACCAAAGAAACCCTATCTTTGCCATCCGAGGAACAGGAGACCAGCTGTTAATTTTGTGCTCGGAAGCATCCAAGACGAAAGGAGAGTTGTCCAGCTTGGGGCAATATCTGTATGAAGTGTACAAAGAAAAACCATTTCGCTTGTTTGTTGCAGATCGGCCAACCTCAGTGCGGCAGACAAGAAAAGTCAACACGATACCCAGCAGCTCTCAATAAAAAACATGAAGCATTTTTTAGGGCAAAGTGCATTTTTGCTACACCGTTAATTCAAGGACGTCCAGTTCGTTTTCAGCTCGATTCGAGAGCCACCGTCAACGTACTAGCCGAGAGACATTGTGCTGGAGTAAAATGTACTGAAGCACGTAGTTGTCTC